AGTAATACATCATTCTAGAACAGTTAAAGCTGAATTATTCAAGAACTACTAACATCTACTGCTATAATTTGGACTTGCTACTTGAATTTTACGTTGCCAGAAGAATATGCAACATGATATTTCTTTGTTTCTAGGAAATGAAAATTAAATTCCTACACTAAAGAAACAGATCACACAAGTTGGTACATATTTTAAGAAAAGAATTTTAAAAAAGACCCACCTTCTTTAGCACCTTGAAGATTTTTCAAAGCAAAGCGAGCCGCCCCTCTTCTCGCATAAGCCTTTACGTAATTTTTATCTAAAGCAAGTGCTAAATTGCAGTCAGATTCCGCAACAGAAAACCTATCAAAAAAATGAATGAGTAGTTTGGACACATCTAGGTTACAAACCCCAAAATTTCAGCAGTTCATCTTACTCTGAGCCTCACCAGGTTCTTGATAAGATGGGAATCTTACATGCTTCAGAAGGGGCACAAACCAAGTACTCACACGTTTCTTGATTCTGAATACATTAACAGCAGTAAAGAATCTCTACTGCCACAGGAAGAATAACCAACTCCCCTTTCTTCACCCAAAACAAATCAAAGCCTTAGAAACAGAGCTCACTGGATGTGAAAGGCAATTTAACTTTCTCTTCCTCTTTTTTCTTGAAGTCTTACACTGTTAACACAGAAGATGGTGAACTGCTAGTGCGCAAGCCAAGGAAAAATTGATGAGGGAGACTACCAGACTGCTTCTCCTGGTGATTCCTATTTTACTTTGAAACTGGAAGGCAGGTTGCAACAACACAGCATGATGCATAAATCAAGAATTAAAACTAGACCAAAAATCTGAAGGTAGCGTTTCAAGTACAAAAATAGCACAGATTTAACAATGCAAGTCTTACTTTTTCATTCTATAAAAAGCTGATGCTCTGTTTGTGGGCAATACTGGATTGTACGGATCAGAATGCATCCCTCTAGTATAGCATTTTATAGCTTCATCAAAGTTTCCTTGTTTAAAGTATTTATTACCCTGTGAATAGAAAAGAACAAGTTTTTCAGCATTTTTCAGAATTTTCAGCAAGTTACTGTATATTGGCAGCTACCATGCTAATTAAAAACCCTAAAAATACAAAGTATTCTTGAAATGCTTAAATATTTTTGTTCAACATTCCTCACAAAATACTGCTTTACTATGAAATATGCTAATATATTCTAAGCGCACCATATTAAATAATTTTCAAGATATATTCTCTAACAGAGGTCTATAAAATATTCATTTTCAGTATCTCTAGGTCATTTCCAGAAACGTGCAACAAGCATATACATAACTACTTAAATTACCAAATAAGGTTTTTTTAAGTTTTCAGTAACTAGGTTTGGCATCTTTGCTTTCCAAGTCAACATTTTCATTTCTGCCTCCTCTGGGACACAACTTTTACCTCACACGCACCTTCAAGGACCTCACTGCAGCCAAGACAATAATGGCCAAAGATACTAGATTTCTATAGTTTATAGATTACTAAATCTATATAGATTACTATATAGATATAATTCTATAACCTTTTCCTTCTCTGCAAGAGCCTTTTCAGCATCTACATGAATTCCATCTTCTTCAGAGTCTGATTCTGGAGATACAGAATCATGAGTACTATCTTCTTTATCAAGTTCTTCAAGTATTTTATCCTGGAATCAGAAACAAAAAACCAAAATGTTGTCTTCATTACAATTTAACAGTGCAAAATAATACAAGTAAGATTTTATTAATGTGTCCTCCAATACTGACAGTTGTGCTTAGTCTTACATTCTACTATAATTATGACCTTTTAATAGGCTTATTGTTAAAACAGGTTTTTTTTCCCCTTAAACTAAAATTCAATCTGCTAGATAAAAGCACAGTCAATAAAAAAACCAAGTATTTATGAATATTCCAAATATTAAATTTGTAATCTTTTTGGGAGAAAGCTACCCTATGTTCATACAGTACCCAGCACACTAAGATACTGACTAGTGGACTGATTCTCAGCACTGGAACAAAATCTTATTTAACACAGAATCAACTGGGGACAAGACTCTGGCAACAAAGCAAATCTTAAGACTTACCACATCAAGTTTTCCCCATGCTTCATAATCGTAAGACTTGATCTTGTTTTTCTTGTTTTCCTCAGAGGTTATCTTTGAAGGGACTTTATTTTTGCTTTTCTTCTTTTTCTTAAAAGCCTTGTTTCGAATTGGTGGCAAATTCTAAATAGAATTAAGTAACTTATTATAAAACAGATGTGTGGAAATCACTTGCACTGAAGAATCTACAACACCTGTACCTAGACAGAATATGTATCTAGTGGCTAGTTTTATTTTAGAAATCCATCTAGCAAGCTGTTCTCATGAGCTCTACAAAACCACTAAGAATTACAAGCATAAATCTTTAAACACTTAATAGTAAATATTACATGTATGATATAAAACTGAGTTTTAGAAGACAACTGTCTTCAGAGTATCACTAAAGAATCACTTCAATACACTAAATGTCAGCAGTAAATTACCAATACTGATGCTGCAAACAGAAATATTCTCATAGATCTACCCAGAACTGATAAAAAATTTACTGGCCTTATCACCTTCAGGTGCTACTGGCCCACAGCTCTGGTGGTGGTGCAGTTTACAGAGGAATCTGTAGTTTACTTCAGGTGAAGAACACATGGATTAGTTTATGCCTTCTATTCAGATATTTTAAGTTAAAAAATGTAATTTTGCTAATGCAAAACATTATTATTATAAACACTATCACAGTATGAATAGCTGAGTTGACACTGGTCTTGTGTTTTCTTACCTCTTCTGGGACCCCACTCTGTTTCCTGAGTTCAGAATCCACTTCTTTAATATCTTTTTCCCAGCTCTCCAATTCTCTCATAAAATCCTGCAGCTCTTCAGCATTTTGCTTCACTTGCATCTGCAGCTCTATTGCTTTACTTGGTGCACTCATCATAACCTGCCAAAATTCAAGGAAAAAAGCCTTCTAAAAAGAAGTTGGAAGTATGTAGTGAAGGAAGCTAGCTACTTCAAAATTATCAAGTCTGACTTACATGCTAGTCAGACTTCTCAACAGCATAGCAGGAACATTAAACATTAAGAGACTAATGAGAAAACACAGTTGAAATGTCTTTGAAAAAATGAAAGGAAGCCATATTATTCAGATAAAACAAACTATATAATAACAAACAGCAATTCACGTTTTCCTAACTAAATATAAGGTAAAGCACCCAACAAGTCAATGGTAATCCTGAAACTGCAAGCAAGTCCCTCCAACACTGTTTAATAATTATTAACACTTGATTGTCTTCATAGATTTTGTTGTCTCAATTTTGTTGTCTTAAGTGAAAGAAGTTTTATTATCACAAAAATATCAAGTCACAATTAATAAGTAACCTTAAAAATTTTGGTTACAATTCAGAAAAAAAAGAAACCCCACACATGTACAGTTCGTAGCACAAAAATCAGAAAGGATGAGGCAAACATGCTTTGAAAACAATCATGATTAAGTAACTCATAATAAGCTAAATACAAAATTAGACAAAGAGTTATGAATGGTTGCTAACTATAACCTCTTGATGGCAAGCTTCAGGATCTGTTAAAGCCTCATGGAAATATAAATAAGCTATTTGTAGAGATACTACACAGAAAACTTTTAAGGAAGAAAAAGATCTACGCTATTTAATATGCTTTATTTAACGTTATTTTTCACACCTGTGCAATAACCTAGCAGCCCAACAATATAAAAATTTATGAGCCAAAAAAGCTAACGATTTCTGTGGTACAACGTGCCATCCATAATTACAGACAAGGGTCTCAAAGAGATGGAAAAACCACTGCACGATTACTAGTGAACTAATGCTACCAAAGCAGCAATGTTTTCACATGCTTAGGAATAAGCAGCTGAGTAGATGCCCTGCTGCAGCAGTTTCTTTCTCCCTAGCTCAGGCACAGGTGGTGACATAATTATCCTGAACAATGTATTAGGTCTATTTGAAACATAACAGAAATAAACTTTCATTGAAACCAAAAATACATAGCTTTCATCACGTTTCCAGTCAAGCAGCTTACTATGTTTTTATCCACCTTCAACTGTTGTCCCATGCCGAATTACCACTGTAATGTTCAATCTGTTAATTTCGTGCAACTTGGGCAGGGACACATCAAATATTCCATACAGCTTAGCATTTCCAGGCAGGCAGAACAAGATACTTAAAAATATGCAAAAAATACCTTGTAATCTATTGACCCTTTCTTTTTCCTATGTCTGACTAAAACAATATTCTCACGCAGGCGAAAACCTAACATGAAGTCCGGCTGTTTATTCTCTGCCACTCTAAAGCATCCGGCTAAAGTGTATGAAGTCAAATTGCTCCGTTACCAACTAGCCGCACACAACTTAGCGACGACTTTAACGCACGCACTGACAGCAGCCTCTGCGGCGCAGCCCTTAAACCTTCAGGGCACTTTTATTCCGACTCTCAACTGAGAGCTGAGCCCTCCCAACACCCGAAGGCTGCTGCTCCCAGCTTCTCCCCTGGAGCGGCCGCACCACGCCGGCGGCCCGGCCGGCAGCACGGGCCGGCCCTGGAGCGGGTCCCGAGGCCGCGCCGCAGGAGGCCCCGAGGCAGAGCAGCCCCTGCGAGCCCCAGCACCGCCTCTGCACCACCCGCAAGCTACAAGCCAGGCCTTGGCTCCATCAGGGTGTGCTCCCCACGCCTCGCCTCGCCTCGCCTCGCCACCCCGCGCGGCCAAGCCGCCCGTGGACCACAGGGGTGGGGATGCGGCTGCGGGACGGCTCCGCCCGATCACCGCAAGCCGCGCTCGCCCCTTCCCGCCCTAGCCTCACCTGCGCCGCGCCGCGGCTCCTCCCGCGCTGCCCAGCCCGCTCCCAGGCTGCCGCGCGGCCCCCGCGCCAGGAGCCAACTGCGCCTGCGCGCGCGGCCCCCCACCCACGTGCCGGGAGCACGGCCGGCGATTGGCGCGGCTCCGGGCCCCGCGGCCCCCGGCAGGCGCGGGCCCGTACGGCCGGACATGGGGCACGGGGAGGCGGATTCGCCGCCGGCGGCAGAGAAGAAAGGGGCGGAGGAGGAGGAGGAGGATGATTTCGGCTACCGGCTCTTCCCGGACCGGAATAAGAAGCCGCAGAGCTTCCTGGTCCGCAGCCTCTTCACCTTCCACAATAAGTGCCAGCTGATGCTGAGGCTCACCCTGGAAACGAGTAAGCGCTCCCCGTCCTCCCGCGGGCCCGGCCGCGGCGCAGGAGAGGTGCCAGGCGGAGGCCGGGGCGCCCGCGGCCGCCAGCGGCGGTGACCTTGTGCCGCGGGTCCCGCGGAGGGCCGTGCCCTCCTGCCGCAGCACCCCCGCGGCCGCCGGACTGGGCCCGAGCCGGTGGCGGGGTGCGGCTGCTGATTTAGGAACACGCTGATTTCGGTTAAGATAAAATACAATTTCGAAAGTGGCAGAGAGAGGCTTTTTTTCTTATAAGAAGGTTCTCCTGTACTTCTTTTTTTTTCCTGAGAAACTGAGATGATTTGTCAATATCTGTGCCCCTTGCACTGTTTGATGTGGACTGTTCGTGTTGTCAGGAGTGACTTGATTCCTGAACAGCTTTTACTCTGTATTCTGGGCTACATCAGAAAGACCATGGCCATACATCAAGGGAGGTCATTCTCCCCCTCTGGTCTGCTCTCCTGTAGTACTCCACCTGTAGTACTGCAGCCAGGTCTGGTGCCCTTGGCATAAGAAGAAGATGGAACTGGTGAAGTGAGTCTAGAAAGGGCTGTCAAGTTGGTAAAGGGGCTGGAGCACCTCCCCTACAAAGACAGGCTGAGAAAGTTGGGGTTGTTCAGCCTGCAGAAGAGAAGGCTGCATGGAAACCTCAGAGCAACCTTCTAGTGTCTGAAGGGGCATATGTGGAAGCCAGACAGAGACTCCTCATCAGGAATTGCAGTGATAGGATAAGGAATAACGAGTTCAAACTGTAACAGGGCAAATTTAGGCTAGATACACAGAAGAAATTTTTTACTGTGAGGGTGGTGAGGCACTGGGACAGTTGCCCAGAGCAGCTGTGGTTGCACCATCTGGGCGTGTTCCAAGGCCCAGTTAGATGGGGCTCTGAGGAGCCTGGTCGAGTGGAACGTGTCCTTGCCCAAGGCAGGGGGATTGGAGCTTTTTTATCTCTAAGCTCCCTTCCAACTCAAACTGTTCTATGATTCTATATCACATAGTCTGATCTGTAACAGATGCCAGTTGCATTGCAATAGGATTAAATATTGCAAAGTATAAATTTGCGTGTATAGAGCTTTTCTTGATTTTTTTCCTTGACTGTCTATATTTTGTTTATAGATGGTTTTCAAAACTTTTGTCTAGAGAAATTGATTGCAGCAATGTTTTTCTAGATCCATATGCTCGACTTCTTCTTGAGGCTCTGAAGCAATCTGGTTGGTATGTAAACTAATTTGTCTTGTTCTGTGTAGTAATGTCACTGTGATAAATAGTGAGTGAAGTTTTTAAGTTCTTTTCTGTGACTTTGTTTGTTTGGGCCTTTCAGCACTGTCTTCCATGACCGTCACTTTTCTTGTGAAAACTGTGATGGCTGTGTCGGTGGAGGTTTTGATGCTGCCACATCTCAGGTAGGTGCTGGACATAGTACTCTTTCAAAGGACTGCAATTTTTTAGTGTTTTGTGGCTAGGATTAAATCTACCCATACTGATACATGAGTTAATCGTGAAAACAAGAGAAATGGAAGATGTTCCATGGCATTGGAACTAGTACACTTCAGCATGATAAGGCTGTTAATGTTGAAAAACATCAATCCAAGGACCCTAAATGCTGCTTGTGGTGTGTCTCTTAGAAGTAAGGGAGGTGTTGAAGCTTAGTGAAAAAACTACCTATATCTCTTCTTCTGCAGATTGTTCTGTGTCAGAACAACATTCGCCGACAGTCCCATATGAACCGGGTGGTCACACATGAATTGATTCATGCATTTGATCACTGCCGTGCACATGTTGACTGGTTTAAAAATGTCAAACACTTAGCATGTTCAGAGGTAAGTTAAAGTGCTTCTAATTTTATCATTTTATTAATAATTGCTGGTTATTAGGGCTGCTTTGTGTTACATGGTCTGTTTCACACAATTAATTTGTTTTAATCCTGTTAATACATTTTGTCCTTTCTGTCAGGTCAACCTAAATAGTTTTGTTCAGAAAACAAATACTTAGTTTTCACAAATATTAGTAAGTTAATGTCATACAAAGTAGAATGTGATCACTATGAGTGTAAGAAGTGGTTATTGACAAATAAGAGAGTTGTTAGAAGTGAAAACATATTCACATGGTAATCAAATGCTTATAGAATTCTTTTTATCCCATGCAAGTCATGATATGTTAGGTGATTATCACAGTAACCTTGGTTTTGTTTAGGTTTTTTTGATTAACAACAAACTTGTCTTTTCCTGTAACACTCATTTTTTGAGTAATTGTGGTCTTGCTGCTAGTACACTGTAGTTATGAATCCATCACCTTTGGATGAGGTTCTGAGTAACCTGGTCTAGTGGAAGGTGTCCCTGCTCATGGCAGGGAGAAAAGAACTTGATGATCTTTAAGTCCCCTTACAACCCAAACCATTCTATGATTCTGTGGTTTCAGAGGACATTTGAGTATTAAGGGCCTTAACACTTGACACTTCAGGAGGTGAAATTAAATGGAGCACAGGCTGGGAGGGATTTCTCTTGTGTATGTGACACAGGTGTTGTGTTTATGAATCTGCATGCTTTTATTTGATTTCTGGTGTAATCCGTATCATTTTGTCACAGAAAAGCTTGTCACAGGCTCAGCTTCACTCTTTCATTTCTGATTCTTCTATCTCCTTCCTGCCAAGTGCCACAGGGAGCCAGGGAATGTGAGCTGTGGTCAGTTCATAGCCCTTTGTCTCTGCTGCTCCTTCGTCCTTGCACTCTTTCCCTAGTCCAGCTTGAGGCCCTTCCCACGAAATACAGCCCTTCATGAGCTGCTTCAACATTAGTCTTTCCCTTGGGCTGCTGTTCTTCAAGACCTGCTCCACCCCGAGTTCTTTCCACAGCTTACAGTCTTCCAAGAATGGACTGCTCCATCATAGGTCCCCCAAGGCCCACAGTTCCTGACAGAAAATGTACTCCTGCACGGGCTCTCTGTGGGCTGCTACTTTTTTCAGGGCATGTTTGTCTCTCGTGTCATGATGTCTTCCTTGGACTGCAGTGTGGATATCTGCTCTACTGTGTTCCTTTACAGACTGAAGGGAGACAACCTCTGTCTCCGTGGTCTTCTCTGATGCCTGCAGCACCTCCTCCCCATCCTTCCTCAGTGTCTGTGTGGCTGTTTCCCTCACATTTTCATCACTCCTCTGTGTCACGGCTGACCTGCAGGTTTTTTAATCCTTTCTTGAATGCGTTGTCACGGAGATACAACCAGCACCAGTAATGGTGGGTCTGTTTTAAAATCAGTTAAAACAGGCACTGTCTGACATAGGCTCAACCACTTCTACAGTCTCACAGAAGCTGCCCTGGGAGGCCCCTCACTGCCAACATTTTGCCCTGTAAACTCAATACAATAATTTTTAGTTGTTAACTGTCATATACCTTATTTTGTCAAATATTTTATATATATATATATATATAATATACTTTATTAACTGTCATATACTAATTATTCAAGATTGTGCCTGTTCTTGCTCTTGTCAGGATTATTTGTTCATTTCAGGTCTTTTGATTACTTAATTTTATGGTATTTACTTTTTTTGTTGACAGCTTTTTTAATTCTTACTTTTTCATATTTTCCATGCATTTATTTTCACTCTGGTACTTAATTATAGGAAATCAAGATTTATTTACATTTCCTAACAGACTGTGTAGAGTATAAAATATTTAACAGACAAAAGAAATTCTAGTGTAGAGGACAAGACAGTTAAGCTAAAGCATACATGCTCATTTAAGTGTAGGTTTTTGCAAAACAGATGAGTTACAGCTCTTCTGGTATTGCAGTCTTTGGAAGGTATCTGCCTTTCTTCCTGACTGCTGTAACAGATTCTGATATAGATTGAGGAGAATAATATTACTTCCCATGTTCTTCTAGCAGTTCATCTATATACATACATACATATAATCTCTACTGCTCATTTATTTATATTTTAGGGATGTGTGAGAGGTAGTTTCTGGAGAAACCTGAAGGTGGCTGTAGTTCACTGAGGCTGAGATGGATGTAAAGGGTATGGTAGTAACAGGTGCTTAAGAAGTTAAAGTGGCCTCGGGAATATCCCGAGTCATCTGATAACCAACAGTCATCAGTAGTGTAGAAGAAAAATGTTTGTTACAATTTCTTGGACTTTGTATTTTCATGTGTTTCTCTGATCTTGTGATTTTTTTTATTTTTCTCAATAGATTCGAGCTGCTAATCTCAGTGGAGACTGTACTTTGATGAATGAAATAGCCAGGTTTAAATTTGGATTGAAAGGGCACCATCAGGTAAAAACTGTGGCTATTAAAATCTAATAATTTGTTATGTTACCTATTTGGTTTTAGCCTTCTGAGCTTTCATAGCTAAAAACTTTAGAAAGAGAAATAGATGCCATAGAGTTGCTGTTTCCTCCTAACTAATGCTTAATGGTCGATGTTAGGTTTTTTTCCCCACCTTGTTATTTTTATTGGAGTGAAATCCCTGAACATTTAGTCAGGTTTTAAAGCATTACCACTGACAATGGATGGCTAATAAAACCAAACAAAAAGCAGGGCTTGCAGGAAATGCAGTGGAAATACTTTATCCACTTTAAGTGGTTGACACTCTTAAAAAGTTACTGAAAACTGAAGGAAGCAAAATGAGAAGATTTCTAAATAATCATGTGCATTAAGTCTTGTGGGAATTATTTTTGTGAATAGTAATGAAGTCTACCAAGTAGTAGAGACCCAAGTAGTTGCTCATTTTAGAGTGGCAGTTAGGTTGTAGATGATGTTTGCATATTTTTTGGTCTTTTGGCAAACAAACTGTAAGAAAAAGTTACCATGAAGAGAAGAGAATCAAAATGAAGGCCAGTAGAGAAGTCATTCCATTGTTATACAGCATTTCAGTTCAGTAAAGAACCTAACTGGTATTTGTGTCTGTTTCTTTCTGACTTTTTTTGTGTCCAGGTCAAGCTTTAAAACACTTAATACCTACAAAAAATGCCAAATTGTATTTTAATTCCCGTTCTAAAGAATGTCTTTTAATTATTTCATGGTTTATGTGTACATGGCAAACTAAAGCACATAGTTTACACAGGATGGAACTAAAATGTACTTTAGTGCTTACTACAGGCACCGTTTGACTCTTCTTTCATACAAAATTGTTGCCTATATAATAGGAGTTAATACTTGACAAAATATGGAAAAAGGTTACACTAATAATGACAGATTTTTTGTTTTCACTTTAGACTTGTGTACGAGACAGAGCAATTCGTTCCATTCTGGCTGTTAGAAAAGTTAGCAAAGAAACAGCAGAAAAAGCTGTGGATGAAGTTTTTGATGCCTGCTTCAATGATCTGGAACCTTTTGGAAGAATCCCACATAGCAAGGCAGATGCAAAACGTGCTTACAGAGACTTTCAGAACAGAGATCGCTATACTGCTAATTTGTAAGGGTGGGTGAGAAATTACATTAATGCCTGATTGTTCAATAACATCTGGAGTTGCAGTCTATGCCCACAGTGCACGTGGAAAGGGCAAATCTATCAAGCGTATTAATTAATTTTTTAGACATTTTTTGTGAGCCATCTTCCATGGAAGTAAATGGGGTAAATGAACAAGACTAAAAATGGTGCTTGCTCACCTGTTATTCCAGAAAGATTATTTAGTATGCCAAATGACTCGTCAAATACAATGCAATGTGCTTTTTTCACTCTGACTGACTGGGACTTGGTTTTTGAAATTTTGTTGCCATTGAATAAATCTTTCCATTAAATCTTCATGTTTTCCCTGTCTTCGATACACAGTAATGAACTTGATAATCTTCATCACTTTATTTTAAAAGATGGGCACCTGAACTACAGCTCTGTGCTCTAGATTTAATAACTATGGGTAAACCCAAAATTTAGTAACTGCCACATTTGCTTTTGAGCACCTCCTGAAATTCTTGGGTGGTTATCATTTCCAGTGGTGGGAAAGCTTTTGTGACTTGAGTCCTTTATGCCCTGAACATGCTGCTCATGTCCTCATTGTCTTTGATATTGGAGGACCAGATGTGATGATCAGAGTTGCCTTCTCCTGGTCTGTGTTCCAAAATGTTTTGTGACAAGAGGACTGTCAATATATGAAGCTTTTTCAGGAAATACATAATTTGACTGTAGTGGAGCAGCAGACTCTGGTGAGACTTGAGCTGCAGTGAGGCACTGAACTGCTCAGGAGGGGAAATGTCAGCACAAGCACCAATTTCAAGAGCCTGACATGCTGCAGCTGAAAGGAGGAGGTAATCCCAAGTACCTCCAGAATTTGGCAGCCTTTGACAGGGCCCTTATTTGACTGTAGACTTGGGCTCCTGCAATCCACCTATTTATTTCACATGCCTACAATGTTTTGGATCTGACCATCATTCTGTAGTTTCCTCCTGGGAAGTATTCAGTCATGTGATAAATCTCCAGCCCACTGGTCCTGCTTCTAAGGTGTCACTGAGGAACAAGGTGCCTGAAGATGATAAACAGTGTATTGCGTTTTCCTGATCAGTGTCATCACTTTGAGAAGATTAAAACCTAAGCACAGTCCTCACAAAGGACAAAGCAGAGCATACACAAAGTGCCTGAGAGAGCTGATCAAGCCTGAATTGCCTGAGTTCTGTTTGTGTTGGACTATGTATGGTTTGCATTTATTTCCAGGTGTAGCATAATTCATACCTACAGGAACCATTACTTCTGGGGCTAAGCATTGATGTGGATCCCTCAGAAAGTCATCCCCATTGTACTGGAGGAAGTTAGGTCTTGACTAAGATTCTCCAAACCTGTGCTTTCAGTAGTTTTACAGAATTTCAAATGGAGATGTCATAATCTTATTTTTCTGGGGTAATTATTCAGTGACTGACATAATCTCATGGCTGAATATCTGAACAGAAAAAAATGGGTATAATAACCTAGATACCTATGGAGAAAATTACACATTGAATTCTAGGCTTCCCGTTATCCATGCAGTCTCTATAGACCTGGAGTTTCCAAAATCCTCTGAGGATCAGAGATGCTTTGAAATCAGCATAATAGTATGTGTTAATATTCCCTTAACCTTTACTGTTTTTCAAGTCACTGTTTTAGTCAGTCTGATGTATGATGCTGGGTTTTTTATACCAAAGTTCTGCTTTAATTATTGTGTGTGTGTTTGCATTTATATTGTATTTTGACCAATACATAGTTTGATTATATACATTTGTCTTCTGTCTGGGATAAGCTTTATGAAGTCTACTTAAAATTAAAAATATCGCAATAAAAACTAGAGAATGCAAGTATACAAGCTGCTTTTTTTTTTCTTCAACATTTTTGGTAGGTGAACATCAAACATTTAATTATGAAAATCTTGGAAAGAAAGTATTCAAACATATCTACAGGAAATATTGCTAGTAAAGAGGACATTGACCTGTAGAAAGACACAATTCTTAACATATAGTATGTTTCATAGTATATCACTGTGAAACAGTTGGAGACCATGTTGGGCACTGTAATCACAAAATGTTTGATTTTGTGCAATTCTTGGAGAAGTAAAGAGGGGACTCAACAGAACAGCTACCTTGGACTTCCAGAGGGCAGCCTTCATCCTGTGTAGGAGGTTGGTTGGCAGGGTACCTTGGGAGGCAGTCCTGAAGGGCAAAGGAGTCCAAGAAGGCTGGACAGTCTTCAAGAAGGAAATTGTCAAGGGGCTGGAGCAGGCCAGACTGACTGAAAGGAGAGCTTTGGCTGGAACTCAGGGAAAACAGGAGAGTTAGAACAAAGGCCAGGCCTCTCAGGAGGACTGCAAGGATGTCATGAGGTTTTGCAGTGAGCAAATTAGAAGGGCCAAAGCCCAGCTAGAACTTAATCTGGCTGTTGCGTAAAATAAAAGTGTTTCAATCAGTACCTTTGTGACAAAGGGAGGGCTAAGGAGACTCTTGATGCTTTATTGGATGGGAGGGGAAACACAGTAACAATGAGGAAAAGGTTGAGGAACTCAATGCCTTTTTTGCCTCACTCTTTAATAGTAAGACCAGTTGCTTTCTGAGAGCCCAGCCCCCTGACGTGGGGGACAGGGGCAGGGAGCAGAATGAATCCAAGGGGAAACATTGAGTGACCTGCTACACCACTTAGACAGACACAAGTCCCTGGGACTGCATGGAATCCAGCCATGGATACTGAGGGAGCAGGCAGAAGTGCTCACTGAACTATCTTCCATCATTTATCAGCAGTCATGGCCTAATGGGAAGGCCACAGTTGACTGGAGGTTAGCAAATGTGATGCCCAGTTACAAGAAGGGTCAAAAGGATCCAGGGAGCTGGAGGCCCGTAGGACTTGCCTTTGAGGTCATGGGGGAAGGTCATGGAGCAGATCATCTTGAGTGCCATGATGTGGCACATACAGGACAACCAGGGGTCAGGCCCAGCCAGCATGGTTTATGAAAGGAAGGTCCCTCTTAACCAACCTGATCTCCTTCTGTGACAAGGTGACCTAGTGGATGCAGTCTACCCGGTCTTTGGTAAAGCCTTTGACACTGTCTCGCCACATTCTCCTGGAGAAACTGGCTGCCCTTGCCTTGGATAGGTGCACTGTTCACCTGTGTGGCTGGACCCAGAGAGTTGTGTGAATGGTGCTACACCCAGTTGGCTGTGGGTCATTTGTGATGTTCCCCAAGGTTCAGAATTGGGGCCAGTCCTGTGTAATATCTTTTTTGATGATCTGGATGAGGGGATCAAGTGCACCCTCAGCAAGTTTGCAGATGACACCTGGGTGGCAGTGTTGATTTACTGGAGGGTAGAAAGGCTCTGCAGAGGGATCTGGTCAGGCTGGATTGATGGGTCAAGGTCAATGGTATAAGGTTCATCAAGGCGAAGAGCCAGGTCCTGCTGGTGGGTCACAACAACCCTGTGCAGCACTACAGGCTGGGGGGAGAGTGTCTGGAAAGGTGCACCTGGGGGTGTTGGTTGATAGTTGTCTGAACATGAGCCAGTGTGTGCCCAGGTGGCCAAGAAGGTCAATGGCATCCTGGTGTGGATCAGAAATAGTGAGACCAGCAGGACCAGGGCAATGATCATCCCCTTATACTCAGCACTGGTGAGGCCACACCTTGAATCCTGTGCTCAGTTTCAAGCCCCTCACTTAAAATGCTGGAGCATGATCAGAAAAGGGAAATAGGGCTGATGAAGCATCTAGAGCACAAGTAATATAAAACGCAGTTGAAGAAATTTGGCTTCTTTATAATGAAGAAAAGGGGGTCTGGGGGAAACTTTATCTCTCTGTATGACTACTGCAGATTGTAGCCAGGTGGGGCTTGGTCTCTTTTCCCAAACAAGTGACAGGACAAAAGGAAACAACCTCAAGGTGTACCCGGAGAGGTTTGGATTGGTTATTAGGAGATACTTCTTCATGGAAATGGTTGTCAAGCATTGGAACAGGCTCTCCAGGGCAATGGTTGAGTCACCATCCCTGAAAGTATTTAGACAACACGTTTAGTGGTGGACTTGGTATTGTGACTTTAACAGTCAGACTCAATGATCTTTCCAAGCCAAATGATTCTTTGATTCTCTGTAATAATTTCTATGAAATAAAATTGCATATCCAGAAAAAGTCAGTTTAAGCAACGGATACTTTTCAGTTATACCAAGTCAAATTATAATGGCAGAATATATGCACAGCAAGTCACCAGAAAGCAGTCAGGACAGTCTAATGGGCATCATTCCCTGAGAAAAGGAGGGACAATAATTACATGGAACTTTGCACACACTGTTTATCAATTTGAGCAATCATTTCATTACTTCAGATTCAATTTTAACCTGCATCCTTTTTTCTCATCGAAACAGAGGTTAAAAAAAACAAGTAAAAACTCTGTGCAAATATGAAAAATTTGTGAATTGAATAAGCAGCAGAGGGAGCTGAAGGACTGTGGAACACCATGCTGCTGTGGAAAATCAGCTGCAGACTGTACACAGCTGTTCTTCAATGAGCAATTCGCTCTTGGTTAAAATTTCTGTTTTAATCAAACTTGCATAACTTTAATATTAAAAGAGGTTCAAAATTAAATCATATTTCATTTCTTTTTTTTTTTTTTCTGTTTCTGAAGAATATTTGCTTCCATTAGAAGAAAACTTCAAAACATGTATGGAAATACTTTTGCCATCTGTGCTGTTTTGGAGTGTGATTTTGTTCACAGGAACACTTAGATAAATGCTGGGATGCGTGTGGCAGACCAAAATGTTAAAGCTGTAAAGACCCATCATTGGTAATCACAATTATGAAATTACATTAGCTTAATCTCTCATTCCTCATGCCTGAATTTTCAGAATATTATCATTTTTTTCTCTTAAATCTGAAAGATTTTCAAGTTTTGACCAAAAGAAAAGGACATCATTGTACAGATAGTAAAGATACATAATTTTACACAGAAGATCAGTTTAATAAAGAGCCTTCAGTTATTTTATTTATGCTGGAGACAAAGTGCTAGCTGTGACATACATTGCTCAATAGCTGCTTGGCAGAATTCTTTCAAAGTTTGTAGCACCTAGCTCTCAGTTGCATGGATGTATGTCAGTTACCCCAGGAGCCTTCAGATATGGATTGTAGTTTTTTAAAACTGTTGTAGAGACTGTAGCAATTATAAGTGAAAACAACAAAAATCATCAGTAAACAAAAAAATCCAACTCTGAAATACAAGAAAAGTTCAGAAATTCTCAGGGCCTGGTCAGGGAGTCTTGCTGCTTGCTAGATTCGAAGAATTCAGCACCAAGAGGTTATTGTCCTATGGA